TAGCATTTATTGACTTTTAAAGCTGCAAGGGCCTATAACCTTCCTCCCTCCCTCCCTCCCTGCCTTCTTCCTTTAGCGCATTAGGGTGAAAACAAATCCTAGGTGACACACAATTCAGAAGTACAAACCAAATTGCTTCCTCCTACCCTTATTATCAGCCATCATATTCTTCATTCCAGAGGCAACCATGCTCCACTTTTAATGAATCTTTCTAAAAATGATGGTTTGGTATTTCTGTATACTGTATTTTTAATATAACTAGCATAATTATGCTTTTTTTCACTTACTGTGGGGCATCAGAGAATGTAACTACATATAGAATGGCCTCATTCTTTTTAGTGGCCATGTAATATTTGGTTATATGGTGTATCTGTAGTAGATTAGCCCCCGTGGGGGATATGCCAGCATCTATACAAGTCCTTGTTGCCCACACCTTCACCAACAGGACAGATCAGACTCTGACCTTTGCCAGTCTGACACATGAAAAAATAGCCTCTCCTTACAGTCTTAATTTGCATTTCTCTTACGAATTAGGCCAAATATATTGATATATTTCAGAGCTATGTGTGTTTTCTTTCTCAGTGAACTCTATCCTTTGTCCGTTTCTCATTTGGATTGTTCTTTTTATTGTTATTAATAATTTGTAGGAATCCTTTGTATATGAGGCACAAATATTTGTCCCAATTTGTCATCCCTTTTGACTAGTAAGATTTCTGTTGCCAAGAAGAATAGTAAGAAAAAGTGCTTGTAATAATTTTAAAACTAGTGCTAATTTAAATATTTAGGACCACACTTTTTTGGTCGCCATTTTTTTAAGACAGGGTCTCACTCTGTCACCCAGGCTGGAGTACAGTGGTGCGATCATAGCTCACTGCAGCCTCGAACTCCTGGCCTCAAGCGATTCTCCCACCTCAGCCTCTCAAAGTGCTGGGACTACAGGCATGAGCCACCATGCCCAGCCAGTTGCTATTTTAAGTCAGATTTTATTTTTTTTCCTATTTCTTTCTAGCTGATAGTTTGAATATATGAAGCCAATTGATTTCTATAAAAAGCTTTTCAGTTTATTCTTGTGAAATTTCCAAATAACCGTCATTATGAAAATAATGCTTATATCATTCCCAACTTTTTGCTTATGCTGCTTCTCTTGTCATTGACTGTACAGTACCTGAGAAAAGGGTTAAATAATAGTAGTATGGGGCACCCTTGTCTTCTGCTGTAGTGGGAGCTCTTCTAGCATTTATCCATTATGCCTAATGATACTGGTTTGAGATAGACATTTTTAATCATTTTAGGTATCTGTTGATTTCTTTTTACAAGCAAATGTGAACTATAACATTATTTTACAGTTTTCTTGCTCATCTTTCCAGCTGCATTGATCCAGCTGTATACCATTCTCCTGTATGAATGTACCATACTTTATTTACCCAACCCCCTATTTAGAGACACTTAATTAGTTTCACAGCTTTATCGCTATAAAACAGCAAGTGCAGGTGCAAATGTGTCTGCAGGATAAATTACTAGAATCGGGATCCCAAAACATGTCTTTATTTTGAAAATTAAAAATGTAACTTACATGGTCAATTACACACATACTCAACATGGAAGGAAGTTGAAAATGATCCAGAGTCAAGCTTCATCAGACAAATGAACATTAAATTTATTCTTTAAGTATCTAAACAACCAGGCATTGATAAGCAATGCCAGGTTTGTGGGATTTTTTTTTTCCTTTTGAAAATGGCTATTTTCAAAGGAAACCAAGACCAAAGAAGATAAGCATGCTCTTGTATCAAACCAAGAACTTAAATGCACTCTGTGAAAGGCACTGCAGGTGCCTTCAGCCTTCCATGGGGAGGAGACTTGGCTTTGGTATCCAGCGCTGTTGACCTATCCTGTGTCATTGCCAGCCCGTTTGCTATTACCGGATCTTAAACTTGCATCACACTCACAGACATTCTCCATGTCATTCACACCTACAACTTGACCACAGGGATGTCTCAGTACTACTCTTGCCCATCTGGTCCATGAGCTATACCAAGAGCTTCACTTAAAGAAAACTTCACAGTCTGATTTCCTAGCAACAGCTCATCCCCAGAGTGAGAGGCTCGATCTAAACAAAGTAAGTTATGTTAAGCACTTCAGCCAAGTAGCTCTGTTTGTTTTTGTCCATATACCTGATACAAACTATAGCCATCATCTTCATTTTATTATAAATTAGTAGTCTGGATTATACACACACACTCAGTTTTTCTTCATGAGGAAAAAGAGCTCTGTCTAAAGGGCACCTGAAGTGGATGCAACAGAAGTTACTGTTGGAGGACAAAGAAACCCAGCTCACTCCACTAGTGAGACTGAAGTTTCCCAGAGGAGGACAGAGCTGGGTGTTGTTCATCTCTGTCTTGGGAGCTCAGTTCATCCTAAGTGCTCAGTCATTGGCTGGACTCAGTTCTAGGTTCAGGCTTCATATATCTGGGGCAGAGGCATTTCCCATTCATTCTTGGCCGCCTGCTCCACATTTTGGACAAATCCATTTCTGGGTTGGTTGGGCTATAGCCGGCTAAGCTGCTGTAACACAGAGAACCCACACGAGGGCCTGGAGAAGACAGGAGTGTGATTTCTTTCTCCTGTCACAGTCTAGCGGGGAGCGAGCTGCCATCCTCACGTGAGGCTTCCTCGTGTTCTATTCACAACTCTTGCTGTTTCCTGCGGCAAGAAGTGGAGGCAGCGGGGGACGGCTCCCCAGGGCAAGACCTGCCAAGTGCAGACCCCAGTTGGGCTCACAGCCCTCGGGCAAGATGCAGTCGTGTTGCCCAGTCCCTCCCAGGGAGCCTGGGGGACGAAGGGCCTCGCTGGCGTCCATGGGCCACAACCGGGGAGCGGAGTGACTAGTTCACTGGGAGGCAGGAGAAAACCTGGAGAAAGGGGTAGTCCTGCCGCCGCCCGCCCGGTTCTCTCTCTCTCTGAGGCCGTGCGCGATCGCTGGGGCGGCGGCGCCCCCTGGTGGCCCGGGCTGCGCCGGCCGGAGCTCCGCGGTTTGTGGGAACTGGATCTTGCCCGTCTGACGCTGAGACGCCTCCTGAATGGGCTCACGCACCCCAGAGGAATTTACACAAGGTTTACTCGTTACTGCTTAACAGAGAACGCTTGGCACGACGTACAGGCCCATGAATAGGTGAATTCTTAAATCATGAAACATGGATGAAACAATTACTGGTAAGTGAAAAAAGCAGGTTGTTGAACAATATGAAACACGTCATTACATCCCATTTAGGATAAAAAATGCAACTGTATGTTAACATATATGATATACACGACGGTAAGTGGGCAGATTTTGTTCCACTGTTACCACTGGGAAGGGGGTGTCAGACTGAGGGGGGAATAAAAGGGGAAGGGGAGAAGAGAAGGAAGAATAAAGAACAACTTTCAGCTTTTTACTGTATTTCTGGATCGAATTCTTTAAATGACTGTGGATTATTAAGAAAAGAAATTCCCAATATAAAACTAAAAAAATTAAATTGTAACTCAGTACATTTAGTGTAATATTTAACAGTAGATGTTAGATATGCAAAGAAATAAGAGAGTGTCTGGAAGGATGGCAGCGAGGCCCCAGCTCCTGGGGATCCTCTGGTGATGGGATTCCAGAGCACCCACGCCCCACGCCAGGCCGGGGTTTAAGGCAGGAGTGGCCACCGGTCAGCGCAAACTGCTAAGTCAGCGTTGCAGCCGTCCTCAGCCTCCTGGGGTCCCCACAGTCTGGGGAGGGAGGTACCGTTTGTCCTGAGTTTGCAGATGAGGAAATGGGCCACAGAGAGGTTCAGTAACATGGCTGGTGGGAAGCTGGGTGTGAACCAGACAGTCTGGCCCCAGAATCTGGGCCCCAGAGCTCTCGGCTCTGCTCCTGCACGATGCAGCCCGGGAGTCACCTTCAGAACCGAAGAACGGAAGTCCTTCCCAAGCGAGCTTCTGTTGCCACCCTGACACGTGACGTGACACGGCTCAGGTCTCACTGAGACCTCAGGTTATGGGATGTGCCACCACTGATGCCCCTGCCCTGTGGTGGGGCTGTGACAAGGCCCAGAAGAAAGGGGCATACCATGGTGACTCTGAAGGATTCCATGTGCTCAAAATGCAGTTGGGATTGAGAGTCATCAATTCACGGAGACAGAAAGTAGAATGGGGACATGGGGTCGTTTACTGGGTGCAGAGCTTCAGTTTTGCAAGATGAAGAGTTCTGAGGTGCATGGGGTGATGGAAACACAACAATGTGAATATGCTTAACACTACTGCACTCTACTCAAAAACGGTCAAGATGGTAAATTTCACTTGTATTTTACAATTAGATTTGTAAAATTAAATAAGTCCCTTTTAAGTTTCCAGAAGAAGCACGTTCTTGTACTGGGAGATTTCTAGCTGGGGAAAGTGACCTCAGCGACTTTACTCAAAATCTTATTATAATTATAATTCATTTAAGAAGCTTTGAGAGCACCCTTGCCCCTCCCCAAAGAAGTGATTGCAACAATTACATTTTCACATTCATATTTTCTTCATTTTGAATAAGCACTGTTTAAAAGCTACTTTACTAGAACATATTCCTTTATCATATTTAAATATTCATAATTCATTCATGTGCTGTAACATTGTAGCCCAGTATTACTTTACTAGGATAGGAAAATACCATATAAAAATAAACAACAAGCTTTTACATACCCACTGAAAAGACTACACATATACACATATGTGTACTATACATGCTCCTTATAATGTCTGCATTGGTGTTCCTTGCCTTACCTTTGTGATCAGATCTAAGAACAACCCAGGCGAGGTGCAGCAAGACAGTCTGTCCACACCATTCGGCTGGCCACTCGACGCAGGAGAGGCCAATCCACAGGCTTACCAGGACATGGAAGGGAACCCAGGCTAGAAAAATTATCTCTGGATAGCACATGCAAAAGGAGATGATAGCTTATCTTGGTTTCCAGTTGTGGACCCTTGCAAGGCCAGGATCATGCACTATTCTCGAAATTGGGATTCTTGGGATACATGTCACTGGGCGAGAAGTTCAGAATCTCATCCAAGGAAGGGCCTTCATCCTCTGGAGCAATTTCAGACTCGAACATCCACTGCAGCAAGGCGTCCACAGTCCTGTACTCTAGGAGGAAGGAGAAAGAGGCACGTAGAACCTGGATATGTCAGGGTTCCAGAGAGCACTTGGCCTGGACAGGCCATGGCTTTCCTGAAGAACAGCCGCTGAGTGGAAGACAGCTCTGGGCACGGCAACCAAACACTCCTTGAAAGGAAGGATGCAAAGGTCAGGGTCATTCATCCCTGCTGGTTTGACCCCCATGGAGCTCCCCAGACACTGAAGTTCCTGAAGACCAAGGAGAAGGTGCTCCTTGAAGGATGGAGGGGACAGCCAGCTCTCAGGGGCCGCCTGCTCACACCACCCCTCCTGTAATCTGTGTTGTGTTCCTCAGGCTGCTCATTGTAGGGCACCGCAGCCAGAGCTTAAATTGAGGTTCAGACCGGTTTGGGTTTACCCAGCCAATTGTTAATTCACTGAGAGTCAATGAAGTAACTAACAAATAGTTGTTAAGGGCCCCTATGTCCCCGGGACATTGTTAGGCCCTGGGGATACCAGGAAAACCAAAAAGACACACCCCTGCCACCATGGAGCCTGGAGTCTGAAAGGAAGACAGGTGGCGACCAACAGTTCTCTAGGAGGTCAAGGGGCTTCCCTGCAGAGGTGAGAGTGAGCCTGGGGGAGAAAGCAGTACCTGCACTGGCCCCGGGGCAGGACAGAGCCAGGTGCTGAAGAGCTGAGGGCCTCCAGGACAGAGGAATGGCAGGAGGGTCTGCGGGTAGGGAGGGAGAGAGGCTGCGATGCTGAGAGAGACCAGGTGCATAGGTGGCCAAGGCCGTGGTGAGGGGTCCTATCTTTCTCCTTGAGCAATGGGAAGCCACTGAAGGTCAGATCTGTATTCAGGAAAGATCCCACTGGCTGCAGTGAGGATTGAAGGAAGATCAGTTCTAGTTTTGCTCTGGGTTGAAACTTACTTTTTGATGCAATTCTGCAATACAGTCCTTCCAAGGCCTTCCTTTTGTTGTCTCCATGGTCCTTGGTGTCCACGTGATCAGTGGGCTTCCCATCTTGCACTTCCTCCCTTCAAGGAGGAAGAGACAACACATGGTCAGGTCTCCCAGCCGAGTCCCACGAGGGGCTTCCCAAGCAGGGCCCAGTGGGCAGGGTCCAGCCACATCCAGGGTGCTCATCTAGAGAGGCCTGGACGGTGGGCACACAGGACCAGGCTGGGTGCCGCGGGGCACTGGCAAACCACACGTGGGCGGGGTCTGAGTCTTTGGGTAGTCCAGGGAAGCATGCTACTCACTCTTGGATTCCCACTCCGAGCTCTTGAATCTTCTTCTCAATAGCAGTTTCTACTTCACTTTTTTCTAATGAATATGCCACAAAGAATGCCTCCAAGATAAATGCTATGAAAATACTGAGAAAGAGTAAGAGGTAGAGGACGGTTAGGTTGATAAGCCATGGTCTATGTGGCAAAGAATCCTGGCTCCAAAGAGTGTTTGAGCCCGAATAAAAAGGCAGCCTAGTGTTGCCAAGAAAATGCAAGACAAGAGGGAGAAATGACAAACTGTAAAACTTCTCTCAAGGACTGGACACAACTTCCATTCATCTGCAAAATTATTCTTCCTCTACATCCTACTTAACCAGTGAATATTAAGAAGAAAAAATCACTTTATTTGAAGGGAAAACTTAGGCCAAATAGTTGTTGGAAGATAGTTCTCTATGAATTTCTCAGGTGTCCATACAGTCTGAGTCCTCTGCACAAAAGCTTTTAGAGCCAATTTAGGAATGTTTTTCTAAGGTGGCATTCCAGGGTAGTGAAGTCTCCCTCCCCACGGACAGTCCAGGGTAGCAAAGCTAAAGACCTCATCTCCCTTCCCAGGAGCTTTGCTTACATTCCAGAGTAAAGAAGATAAAGTCAGTCTCTCTCTCTCTCTCTCTCTCTCTCTCTCTCTCTCTCTCTCTCTCTCTCTCTCTCAGGGTCACTCTTACTCTTGCCCTCTCAGGGAGCTGACACAAAGTGTTGCTCTGGCTACTGCTCTCCCCGTGAATAACAAACTCTGTCTCTGCCCAAGATCTCATGTATTCTGTTAGTATATGCATGGCAGACTAACCTGTCAGCTTGCAAGTAGGGTAAAATCTCAGACTTTTCACCATTTCTGACTTGACAGATGATGACATACCCCAGGGATGTCACAGCACTCAGAGGCTTTTTAGAGGAGGGTAGAAAAAATCCCTAGAGCCTTTTTACGTTTTTGTCTGGGCCTATGTCCCGCTCTGGGAACCTCTTCATGGGCCTCTTAGGGAGGCATTTTTCCCTTTGGCGTACTCCATAATCCATTCAGGCTGCATAGGACAAGCAGGCCAGCCCAGAGCCACCCACTGGGTCTCCTCCCACCCTCTGCTAGGATACTCCTTGAGGCGTTCTTGAACCAGAGTCAGCAGGGTAGTGGGGTGGCCAAAGCAGCCTGATGTGACAAGTGCTGGGCTGTCACCCCAAGAATTCCAGGCCCAACTTCTGAGAGGGGTCCTGACACCCAGAAAACACCGATGGGAGAGACTCACAGTGATCACAGGGACTCAAATGCAGGTCACATGCGGAACAGGGAGCTAGAGTCGAAGGTTCTAACTGGAAGGAGAGCCCTTTCGAGCAGGGACATGTCATAAGGGCTTTCAAATGTTTACTGAATTCTCCCATGGAAAAGGGGTCAGGACAGAACTGGAGCCAGTGAAGAGCGTTCACCAGGGGCACATTCCCATCCCACCTGTGCAAGTGCTAAGGCCTGGAGCCGGACGGCAAGGGACCCTCGCAGGTTCTCAGGAGCCCCAGCAGTGGGACCAATTTAAGCAGAGACTGGACAGCAGCTCGCAGGGGTGCTTCAGAGGTGATTCAATCCCAGCAGGGAAGGACAGGGAGACCCGCTACGACTGCAGATTCCTTCTGACTCAAACTACTTGTGAGGCTCTGAGATATATAACACATCCTGATATGCGAGAGGCTGGGGAACACCTCGAGGAACACAAATGTGACCAGTGAGGCCCCTCCCAGTGGCTTAGCATCTCTTGGGGAGACGAGACCCACACACAACCTACACTAGGTGGCACAAGAAGGGAGGTGCCAGCAGTTAGACACTGAAAAAGGAGATCTGACATTTCCAGCTTGGCAGGAGGAAACTCACTTAACAATGAGGATGACGACCACAATGTGGAACAGGATGAAGTACAGCTTTGCTGCCTGGTGAGTCACCAGGGCAAAGCCATCTGCGAGGAGTAGGACGCTAAGGAACCAGACCTTTGAGAAATTCAGGAGGTCCCCTGAGCTCAGAGATGCCGAGATGCAATCCTCCTCTGAGAATTCACTTTCAGCATTTCCCGGCCTCGTCCCGGGGAGCAGACCGCCCCCGTGGATCATGCGGCCTTCTCAGAAGGATATCGTGCCACTGGTTAACCACCGTGAGCTCCATCAGCACCACGAACGAAGAAGCGAGGTCATTGAAGTTGTTCTTGCAGTACCTGCCTCGGGAAAACGCTGAACCCTTTAAGGCTGGGTTCCCACAAACCAGGGCATCAGGAGTGGTGAAATTCGGGTCAAAGAACTGGACTTTGCCGTGGAACGCTTCCATTCCGACGATAGCAAAGGCATAGTAGACCACCTAGGACGGAGAGAGCAGGTCACCAGCAGGCGCCCAAGGCTGCAGAATCATGGGGCAAGGGGCAGGCAGAAGAAGAGGGAAAAACCGCAGACACTAGTCTGTCGTGTTCCCAGCATCCCGCAGAAAGGGTGCTATTCCTGTTCCCAGGGACAGTCACTGGCCCCAGCTGAGAGTTCCAGGCACCTTCAGGAAGAGGGTGGGCAGGGATCAGACACTCGGCCAGTCTGCCAGGGAAGCCTGAGCTATCCACGGAGGGACAGAAGACACAGCCAGCTGGACCACACCTTGATCCCCCCACGCTTCATTTACAAAGTCAAAAATGAGCTCAGGCCAGGCGTGGTGGCTCACGCCTGTAATCCTAGTACTCTGGGAGGCAGAGATGGGAGAATCACTTGAGGCCAGGAGTTTGAGACCAGATCAAGAGCAAGACCCTATCTCTTCAAACAATAGAAAAATTAGCCATTTGTGGTGGCACATGCCTGTAGTCCCAGCTACTCCAGAGGCTGAGGTGGGAGGATCACTTGAGCCCAGGAGTTTGAGGCTACAGTGAGCTGTGATGACGCCACTGCACTCTGGCCCAGGCAACAGAGCAAGACCCTGTCTCAACAAAACAAAAACAAAAATCTAGCTGATAGCACGTTAGTGGGTTAAATACTCAATAGATAATTGTCCTCTAGGGAAAAAAATAATAAGGTTGAATGTTTACCTTGTTCTTTATACCAAAGTAAATTCCAAAGAGTTAAATGTAAAAAATAAAACCATAAAGTTACAAGGAAAAAACACTGAGCAGAAAAAGGCCTGACTAAGCCTGGTATAAAACCTAGAAACTATAAAATGAAAGATTAACAAGTATAACTATGTAATACATTTAAACTTTTATACACCCAAAACCAAAACAAAACAAAAAGTCTTTATGTCAAAAAAAAAGTAGCAAAGAAAAATAATTGCTACTACAGCTTACCAAGGGCCTATTTCCTTAACAGGCCAAAGATCCCTACAAATCATATCAAAAATAAAACTAATAAAAGATGAACCAAGGATGTGAACAGGCTGTTTACCAAAAAATAGGCATAAATGGCCCAAGAACATGGACAAGATGCTCAGCCTTATGATAACTAAACAAACACACACCAAAACAACACAGAGCTATCTTCTCTCCTATCGGATTGGAACAAACGGAAACATTTAGTAAACCCAGTTGTGAGGGGTGCAGAGAAACAGATGCTGTCACACAGCATCGAACGTACACGGGAGCACATCTTTTGGAAGGCAAGTTGCCACCATCAACCCAAAGTTTGAACCCATTTACCTTTGATCTAGCAGATCCACTGCTAGGAATGTGTCCACCAGATACACTCACATCAGCACACACAGACACGTGCCCAAGAATGGGCTTCCCCACATCATCTGTGATGGCAGAGGCGAGACTACCAGGGGTCTGTCAGCACTGGGGCTGGCACACGTTCTGGAGCCTTCCCTCAATGGGACACTTTTAACTGTGGCAGAGCTTACCTGGAGGCATGTGCCTCCCAGATCACAGGACAAAGATGTTCAGTAGAAGAAAGTTGTGTAACAACATTTCAAATGGATTATTCCCTTTAACTAAACAATACACTGGATAGCTACGGGCATGCAGGTGATATACTAGAAATGTTTGGGAAGAATAACAAGACACCCTTAATCATGGTTGCTTCTGGGAAAGAGGCAGGTGGGGGATGGGAATGGGTGACTGACAGTCAACCTGTCAATCTCCTGTGCTAATGGAATTTTTGCCATTATCGATGAAAAGAAAAATAAGTGCCCTGTTGCAGTGTCCAACATTACTCATGCTCCCTCATGCACAGCGTGGAACCACCCCCGCGTGGGAGGCCCCCAGCCCCGTGCGGCATTGTGTGGCCTCTTTCTCAGCACTGGGACTCTCAGGCAGCAGCTGGGCTCTCTCCACAGCAAGGCAGGAAGGATCTGTGGCCTGGACGCACACGACGTCCTTGAGAGCCCCCTGCTAGCTGGGAATGCCGCCTGCTCCGGGGGTGGGAAGGCCCACCGGATTGTCGGTGTTCACTGCAGCACCGGTGTACCTTAACTAACGTACTCCCAATGTTTCTAGAAATGCGATATTTTATAAGAATGGCTACTAGAAACCAATGAATCTCGCTTACTTATCCTCCCTTTCCTTCTCTCCCTTAAAATGAGTCTTGCTGAGAGTTGCTAAGGATGAACATCTCACCACTTATGTTACATCAAACAGCAACAAGAGCAGCTACTTACAAAGACGAGTCCACCAAACGTCAGCATCGTGGGGCCAATGTTGATTAAAGTGGTCACTATAACCCGGAATCTAGAATAACACCAAGTTCCCACATGAAATGAAAGGGAAGATGGAGAGTAAAACCCACACCCCAGCAGCCCCTCCCCAGTCCCGAATCTGTTCTTTAAACGTGGTCAGGAGTCTGCCCTTGTAATTGTGTCAGAATCTGTCCATCCACCCAGCTGAGGGCGGATTTAGCAGATAGTTTCCCCTGAAGCAGAGCAAGGCAGGCTTGACCGCCCTGGGAAGACGTGGGTGGGTGTTGAGGCAGGAAAAGTATTCGGCCTCATCTGCTTTTCTCCCACCTTCTTCTAAGTCAAAGTCAGGCCTGTTTTTTTTTTTTTTATTTCAGCATATTATGGGGGTACAGATGTTTAGGTTACGTATGTTGCCCTTGCCCCCCCTCCCTGCCAAGTCCGAGTATCAGGCCTGTTTTAAGGCTATCCTAGAGATTTATGTTGGCAACTGAACACTTTCTGGAAGAGCAAGCCAGTCCTCAGATGGAGCCATCTCCTCCCCAGACCTCCCTGAAAGGAAGCTTGCCTATCAAAACCCGATGGTGAGGTTTATCCAGGCTTTGGGGTCAGATTTTATCCTGATCTGTCTGCCTCTGTTTAGCGGTGCACCACGGGGATGGGGGGCACTTAACCTCTCTGAGCTTCAGTGTCATCACCTGTGAACTAGGAATAATGAAAGTCCCCAGCTCAGGGGTTGCTGGCGGGATTTAGTAAGACAACACTTAGCACACTCGGGTTAGCATCCGCTGCCGTCAGGACTGCTCTCATTCAGTCACTGTGCGTGAAGGCACGATCCACATCCATCACAGGGTTGGAAATGACTGAGAGAATCCCCGTGGGGTGGGGGGCTGCCATGTGAGTGCTCTTCACCATCCTCCTCCCTCCCCTCCCACTGGAGAACCCCACATCCTCTTTACAAGTTACATCCTGGATTCATAGTAGTAGTAGAGAGTGTTGACAGTATAAAGGAAATAAAAATCTCAGGACCAGCGATGCAAAAGGGAAGGTCTAGCCTGGAGGCTGAGTCATGCAACACCCCCTTCCAAATGAACAACTGCTACTAACACCATTCATCAGCCAGATCCCATAAGCAAGGACACGCAAATTGTAACCTTGGGTCTGCAGGCTAAGTCTAGCTCCTAAAACTAGAGTCTGTTCGATTCCACACTCATAATGAATTGCAAGTTTATCTTCCCAGGTGCAGAACAGAGACAAGGTAAGATCATTCTTCCACCTACCCAGGGACATCTACATAATTGATGCTTCCTTCACTCCCTTTTCCTCTCCTCATATTCACCTCATCTTATGTAAAATGTAGATTTCCTGGGCCTCACAAGAATCTAACCATTTGCCACCTCCCCCAAACCTTCCCTTAAACACTGAAGTTCCCAAATTCTCCTTCAGAAAAACAGTCACAGATGTATCTGTGGTTTGTGTTTTTCCCGGGTGGGTCCTCGAACTTGGCTTAATAAATCTCCGTTGATTGAGATCTTTGCCTCGGTCACTTATTTTGGGTTGTCAGCAGTCAGGCGGCAGGCGTGTCCCATGTGGGCGCCCCCAAGCGCAGCCTTTCACGCCACTCCCTGTACCTCTGCACGGTGACGATGACCCTCAGCAGCCGGAGTATTCTCAGTATCAAGACGATATCCAGTATCTGCTGGCTGTTATATTTTCTTGCTGGAAAAGGAACACAGTCATTTAACGTTCCGTTTTCTCAGAGTCCCCAGCTTGCCCCTTTATTCAGTGATGTCTGAGACTCTGTGGGTGCCAGGACCGATACAGCTTCACTTCAAGAACAGGCAATGGCTCTGAGCAATGAGGAAGCAAGTGCTGCCCTGAATCACTCGCTACCCCTGCAAATCAAAGCCAAGGGTCAGTTTTTGGATCGATGACCAGATGAGTATTGGGTGTGATGGGTGCCTACAAATAAAATCTCTAAAATATAGCCAAACACAAACAAAGCCACCGTCCCTCTCAAGAACATGCACCATTTTAAATAATTCTCTTGCATCCCCTCTCCCCTGCCTTAAGCATCTTAGCGGTGCACAGTGAATGTTCAACAAAGACTAGGAATGGAACGAATGATCCTGGGAGGTGGTGAAGCTGAGAGCTGTGGCACTGACCTGACTGAATGGTGGTGTTGGCCACAGTGGCCACCAGGGCTGTGATGATGATCAGCGTGTCAAACCTAACAGTGCAAAAGCAAAGTGGGTTACGAATCAAGGGAAAGGCCTGCAAGGTCAGAAATAATGGATTCCAAGCCCATCCCCAGCCCAGGGAAGAGACAAAGTCCCTTGGTCCAGCGAGTTTCCTGACAATGAGACCAGGGAGTGGGCCAGGGGAGCTATGCAAGGAACTTCCTTGTTGAGTACAATGTTCTAAGACTGTGATAATAAGAAATATATATATATTTATACATATATATATATTTGGTCTTTATGCATTGTTCCTGGCCAGAGCTCCTGGAATCCTTGTAAATTCCTAAGTGAGGCCGGGCGC